CTGAACCCCCCCTTCAGCAGAAAAAACGATGCTTTTTTATATTGTTTTCCGTTGTGTTGACGGAAGAAACTCAATTAGCCCCCCTCCCCCCTAAAATTTTGGCTGGATCCACCCATGAAACCATTATGTTATGTTATGTAAAATTACAGCAAAAATTAATTAATTGRCCAAAAGGTCTTATTCACAGAATTTATTGAAACTGTATTCAAATTTGTTAAATAACAATGGCTTACTAATCTTCATAGAGTGACATGTATGATTTGTCAGTGGGAATAAATTATTTTCACCATTTGAATTAATGTTTATTTTTATGTTATAAATTATTTCCTTTGTCAAAATAAAGAGCATAGTGGATTTTGTATGAATGTAAAATTTACGTCATGTCATGTGGCACAAACAAGGCACGGTTTAATCCAATCATGGCTTGCTAGACCTTAGCTCACCCAATCAAAATGGTCATACAGACKCATCGTATTGTATGCTTATGGTCAGGGAATGGCGTGATCATGGTTAAACAAGGCTAAAAATAATGGCTGTTTAAGGTCGAACAGAATGACTGGCAATAAGTCTGATCAACATGTGATCAGTCAAAAGGACTGGCCTAAAAGGTGTTTGGCAAAGTCACAGCCCACTTTGTCTGGCCAGACCTTTGACTGGCCGTTATATTTAGCCCTGGCCATGGCAACGGTGTAAGACACAATCATGGTCATGGCATATGACATGACCATGGTCACAGCTTATGACACCATTGTCAGGGCATGGCATAGTCATTGCATATGATAATATTACGACCATGGTCTTGGAATGGCATGGTCACTGTGTATGGCACGACAATGGTCACAGTCACAATGTATTCCACTTAGTATAGAATACGTACTAATGTTTCTATTGAGGTAGAAATCTCTTTTTATCTGATACCAAACCTCTTGCTGTGGGGTACTGCTTGGAGTTAATGTCTTCCTGTGGGGGTGGGGCAGCTGTTTGGGGGCGCTTGCTTTTTCGCCTAATTTAAAATAAAGATAGTCAAAAATCAAGATTTTCACGATCTAGTATTGCTAGTTTTCAATCATTCCCAAGGGAGAGAAAAGACAATATCAAATGACTAGGTGGCTATGTTGGTTGATATTTAACAATTATTCGCCGAAGACAAATTGAATATCGGGGAATATTTACCGAGACACRAGTCTTCGAGCGCCGAGGTAAATACTCTCCGATATTCACTGAGGCTGAGGAAAATAATRTTGCTTTAGTATAAATACACAGGTGATTCTTTCAAAAAAAAGGRAAAAAAGAAGATAGAAGACATTTTTTCCGGTAACAGCAACAAAGCGGCTGGTCGCCATTTTGGATTATCGCTGAAGGTGATTATCGTGTGATAGTGTGAGTTTCTYGACCAATCAGCACGCGAGATTTTCAATAATCACCTGTGTATTTTTACTAAAACGAAAGAATTAATTGACAAGTATTTTGTTAAATTCAACCAAGATGGCGGCTATGACATCATGTGAAATGAAGAATAAATCATGATGAGGAGAATTCCATATATTCCCTATGATATTATCCAGTTATGAATAATAATAAGGAAAAATACATTAGAAATCAGTCACTACACCCTAGAAGTCTATAAATTCAATACGGAAGCATCCTCATGTGTGTTTAACTTGAACATGGAAGTGGGCAGGGGGAAGAGAGGCAGGAAGGGATGAATGGGAATGTGGAAGGAAGGGATGGATGGGAATGAGGAAGGAATGGATGGATGSGAATGAGTGAGAATAGAGAGGAACAGCTTGGCCAGAAGCTCCATCTTTAAAAGGGCCCTTTAAAGCTTAGTCAATTAAAAATTTTCTTACCCTGTCTTTGGTCTGTCCGGTCTATCTGGTCGGTCTCTTCTCTTTGATCTTACTTTCGGTTTGCTCAAAAGGATGCTAAAACAAAATGATATTTTTATGACAGAGATAAAAAAGGTGAAAGTAACTATATTTAAAGTTCATAGCTCTTTCAGCTTCTTGTCTAGTATTCTAGGAGGAGCCCACAGTGTGCACTTAACCCCTTAACCCCTGGGGGGATACTCCGACTCTATCATGTCAGCTCGCGTATTGGGTTTTTTTTTTTTGATGACCATAATAACGGTGCTTCTCGGTGCTTGTTTCGGTCAATACGAAAGTAGAAACCTTGAATATGACAGAAAACTCAGCAAAAACTTGGAACTTGAGTGAAATTGCATACCCTGTTTATGACAAGAGGCTCGAAAAACTATACCCYGTTCAGCGGATCATCCCCGCATAGTCCATATATGGGAGTACCCCCCCCCCCCTGGGACTTAACCCCCTCTCTCCATCAGTGCACTTCTTTAAGGGCATTCAACGCTGAAGAAGCTACACAGATTACGTAGAAGTCAAAACAGAATAGATCCTGAGAATCAAACTGTAGATCTCTAGTTCTGAAGGTGTACACTAAACCAAAAGGAAGTGAGCTACACTTGCTCCTAGAAATCAATAGTCCTTTAGTTTTTAGCTTCATTGTTTGTTGTGCACAGTTCAGACAGTGTATATCATGTGTAAATATTTTAACATACACCTAATTGAAAAAACGTAGTCGGGTTCGAGAAGGTCATATCATYGAAGCTAAGACCRAAAAGGATTTTGGGTACTCCGAAATGTGTATTATATTTGCATAAAGACATGTAAAAATGCACAGTAGAGCAAAGTCAGTCGACCTAGATTAACAACATGCCAAAGCCATGATGCATAAAATGTGCACAGGAAGGGAAAACTGCAATAGGCATAAAATTAGCATAATTGTTTGTCTTCCCATGCTCCCCTTCGGTCTTAGCTTTGATGATATAACCTTTTTTTGAACCCGAGAACGTTTTTTCAATTAGGTGTATATTTTAACAATTCTCAAGGGAATGTCATGTGTTTTCAAATGGGCAATGTGCATACAAAGCTAAAAAGATTTATTAACTAGAATGACCAGTTAACTAATAGATACATACTCTGCATCAAGAGTGAGATCCTCTTCATCCTGTAAAGCTGCGTCAAGTGCAGCCTGTACTCTGGGTGCAACAGCAGGTCCCTCGTAATCTCTAGTGGTTCTGTTTGGCATGTCTAGCTCAATAAGTATAATGTTTTCCCCCTATAACAAGCACAAGAWACCAATAAACCCTGAGATAAGAGGCAAACGTACTGAAGAAATAGAAAACTCGGGAGCCTTCTGTGTGTAGTTATACAGCATGAAGGGTTAGGTAGAACAGAAGAGAAGTGTTAGGAGAAGCATGACGTGTAGGGGAGTGCTTCCCCATACTTCTTGAGTGTTCTGCTATTTCCCAAGTGCTTTACAAATCCACACTGCACAGCATACAAGTTTTTAATTTCTTTGATAAAATACAAATTAGATTAATCATTATTTTGAATACGAATGACAAAATAGAAAGTGCGTGCCRGTGCTGTGTGCTCTCATAAAGCACATGCTCCCATCCAATCAGAACACAAGATTTATGATTATACTACTTTAATGCTACCCTTGATTCCAATGTTTTCCTCTTGTGTTGCACACCATGAGTCAGATTAGAAAGAGTATTTACACACCTTAAATCTAGGGTGACCACCCATGGCAGCAGCTATTCTTGCATACTCTGTTATTGGCCTTTTGTTTCCAATAGCCGAGACTGGTCGTTTAGCCATTGCTTGTTGACTATAAAAAAAATACCATTATTATCATTACACACCATAATCAGTCATTACTGTTCAGTTTTGCAATGATTTTCATTTTATTATCTTTGGTATTTTTTTGTAAGATTACAGCAAGTTCAATTTTGACGTGGAAAGCCTGTTTGAAACAGGAATCCTGGTTTTTCAAGAAAAAATGTAGGGTAACCTATAATTATGTTTTTATCCTGGGGGAGGGGGGGGGGGGAATGACCCTGAAAATGACAGGAAACTCAGGAAGAACTTGGAACTTGAGTGAAATTGCATACCCTGCAGTTTATGACAAGAAGCTCGAAAAACCATACCCTGTTCAGCGGATCATCCCTGTATAGTCCATATATGAGAGTACCCCCCCCCCCTACCCCTGGGGTTTTCATTCATCATTCCTTGGTGTAGAAAGACATTTATCCAGCTGGCCACTCATTGTATTTAATATGATTTTTGAATCCTTTTATTTTTTATTGTTTCTTTGATGGAGTTCTTTTTCCTAGTCCTTTCTTCCTTCCTCAAATCATTCWTCCATTGGTAGTTAGGCTGGCTAATCATTATTATTAATGTTCTATATGATTTTTGAATCCATTCTGTCTTTGATTGTTTCTTTTGTGCCTTTATTTTTTCTTTCTTCCTTCATTCCTTCAATCATTCATTCATGCATTCATTGGTAGTTATATATATGTAAATGTACCTGTTATTTTCTGCCAAGGGTTTTAGCTTCCATATCTCATTTTCTTCATCATAATATGCTCTGCTCATTAGTTTTGTTTTTTCCTCAGGTGGAATAAAACTTTCCACTATGAGTGTCCTAAAATAGTGATTAATTAATAGATTAATAAAGCAATAAATAAAGAATGAACAAACAAACTAAGAAAACAACAAATGAATGAATAAATAAATGAACAATGTATGGATGAATGAATGAATAAATGGGACCAATAGAGGTGTGGATGGATAATATGATGTATGGTTGGATGGATGGATGGATGGATTGATCTATGGATGGATGGGGTGGATGGATGGAACAAAATGGGACGAATAAAGTTGACTTACTTCAGTTTTAGTTCTCTAGTTAAGTCTTCTTGTGCTTGTTCAAGTTCTTGTCTTTCTCTTATATGCACTTCTTGTTGGTCTGTAATCTCTGATTTTATTGCTTGTAGTTTCATAAACAGCTACAAAAAGATGAAAAAAACAAATGATTCTCATCTAACTTGCAGCAAACATTCAGTACCATAATCCCAATAAGCCCTTGCAGTGATGGAACACCCCTTGCAGTGACAGTACAAGCCCTGAAGTGATGGAACACCCCTTGCAGTGATGGTACAGCCCTTTGAATGATGGGATACCCCTTGCGGTGGTGGTGAAGCCTATAGGGTGATGGAACACCCCTTGCAGTGATGGTAAAGCCCTTGGAGTGATGGGATACCCTTTGCAGTGATGGTGAAGCCTATAGGGTAATGGAACACCCCTTGCAGTGATGGTACARCCCTTGGAGTGATGGGATACCCCTTGCAGTGATGGTACAGTCCTTGAAATGATGAGATAACCCTTGCAGTAATGATACAGCCTTTTTAGGGACACCCCTTGTAGTGATGGGACATCCCTTCCAGTGATAGTAGAGCCCGTTATTTGATAAGTCCCTGCATGGATGGGATAGCCCCTACAGTGATGGGTCCCCCAATACAGTGACAGAGCAAGCATTGTACTTAAGACATTATACTTTGTATACATTCAATCAGTTGCCCTCACCTTTTTTAATTTTTTGGTTTTTATTTCCACTTCTTGTTGAAGTGTTGTGTAAGTTTCTCTAACTTCCAAGGTGTCTTCATCTTTGGATTCCAGCTTCTGTTGCATTTCTCTTTCTTTGCGCTTTAAATTGAGAACACAAAAATATCAAAAATCAAACTTACTTCACATGAGATTCATTCAGTTGACTGATACCAAGCAATAACAATAACCTCTTGTCGATAGAATGATGGACAGTCCTTGCCTGTCATTGTAGTTACCTTTTGCTCTGCTATTTCCTGGCGTGTCTGTTCCAGTGCTCTTTCCTGCTCTGTTGTCTTATCAACGATACTCTTACCGCCCACCAGTAGCTTACTCTCCATCATCTAGGTTAACAAATGAGAACAATGTCATTGTGTTCCACACTGAGTCCATGCTGTAATCATACCCCATGATTGATGTTTTCTTGGCATATATGATAYGGGACTTAAGCATTGACCAATACAAGGATGGCTATGCCAAAATGATGAAGCAATCACATAATTTTTCAATAACGTTTTTCATGTGTCATATGTTCATGGTCTAGTCTTGTCATTTTACTTGAGCGTTATGATTAGTTGCTTTTTCCCATCCTAGAGAGATCAGCAGAGAAAAGCAATACCAAGCTCAAGGATATTCAGTGCATGGATGAAATACTGTTCTGAAAATGTGCTTGAGTCATCATTTTGCTATTGCTATCTGTTATATCCTTATTTATGACACCTAACATACCACAGGAATATATTACCTTTATTTTGGCCTCAAGAGATGCCTGTGCTTCCCTCTGCTTCTTTACTTCTCTTTCTTTCTGCTGGATCACACCAAGTAATTTCTCTCTTTCCTATAGTACATTAGCAATAATATAATAAATATTTAAAACATCTCATAAAAATAGATTTGATTTTTAGATTTATTTCAAAGATGAAGGAAGAATTTCCAAAACTCTGGAAATAATTTTTAAAATATGGCCATAATCCACCAGTAAAAATGTTATGAAAACTTATTAATAAAATTAGATTTAATATGTTAAAGATAACCTGAAGATGTTCCAAGGGATAGAGAAATGCATTATTTTGAATTATTATAATTATGTTATTAATTTTATAGTAAGATCTCTTTTTACATGGAGATATTTTCAACCTTTGATTGACACCATTTCTTTCCCAGGAAAATTTTGGGACAGTCTCTAAATTTGCAAGCTTAAATAAGTACGATTAAAGCTTTACTAGACATACTGTATAGTATTACACAGTTTTAACAAAGGCTATCTGTTGTGACCAATACCCAAAGTCTTCATCAATGGTTCATCAACATGGTCCATGGTTTCATTGCAGCGCATATATAGCCGTTACCGCTGTTTGCATTGCTACCCAGCCACCCCAGACAAAAATTGCAACGTGCACTTTGCAATAGACTGCCGTCAATCAAACATGTTGACATCATTTACACGCACATGCATGTGTGATTCTAAAGGCACCAAAACTTGTTGATTGTTTACAAGTATTATGAGCCACACTCACCGGGCCTATCCATGTGTAAATGACATCAACTTGTTTGATTGACGGCAGTCTRTTGCAAAGTGCACGTCACGGTTTTTGTTTGGGATGGTCGCGTAGCAATGCAAGTGGCGGTAACGCAATTTCCAGTAAGCTATTTATTTTAAATTGTACTGTACTTCGTAATATTCAAGTGAATGACTAAGAACTACCATACTCGTGTGCTTAATTTTTTTCAAGTAAAAAGATGATGCTCCCTTTAACACAAGCTTGATATTTACTAGAAATATGTCTAACCTCTTTCACCATGCTGTGATTTTCTAGGAGAGCTTTCTTCTCTTCTTCTAGTTTAGCTTGTTCTGATTTCATTAAGTCTTCTACTTGCCCTTCTTCAGCTTCTTCATCATCATCTTCACTCTCTATCKCAGTACCTTGGTTGTAAGTAGAGAAAATAAGTCCTTTGTGTACTACAAGCAGGCTTGTATTGTATTTAATAATTAGTTTCTATACCACTTGTCTGTCTGTCTATCAGACTGCCCTTCTACTTATTGTCTTCTGTCTGTCTGTCTGTCTGTCTGTCTACTAATTGTCTGTCTGTCTACAGTACTTGACATGTTGTCTTTTTGTCTACTTATATTGTCTTTCTACATGTACAGACTGCCCTTCTAGCTACTTATCGTCTGTCTGTCTGTATGTCTGTCTGTCTGTCTACTAATTGTCTGTCTACTAATTGTCTGTCTGTCTACAGTACTTGACATGTTGTCTTTTTGTCTACTTATATTGTCTGTCTACATGTACAGACTGCCCTTCTAGCTACTTATTGTCTGTCTGTCTGTCTACTAATTGTCTGTCTGTCTATAGTACTTGACATGTTGTCTTTTTGTCTACTTATATTGTCTGTCTACATTGACTTATTATCTGTCTGTCTGGCTRTCTACAGTACTTGTTGTCTGTCTGTTCTGTCTCAGTGGCATTTTTTCTCAGCTGCCTGACTCTTGCCTCTTGCAGTCTATCAGCGCATTATCTACAGTATCTGTCTGTTTTTCTCACCATCTGGTGCTCTTCTCTTCTTCTTTTTCTTCTTCTTCCCACCTTTCCTTTCCAATTCACTTTTCAATCTGTCAGAAAACAAGACATTAATATACCCCAAAACACTGGAAGATCCATGTAATTTCAAACCAAGAAATAAAATGGTTTAAAAATTATGTGCTACCTGGCAATCTCTTCCTGGAATTCCCTAAGCAGTGCATCTTTAGGATCTTCATTGATATGTGGTTTGTTCTTGATATTCTTTGCTCTGTTCGCATACCTGTCATTGAATGATTGTCAGTACAAAGGTAGTGGAGTAGAGGGAGAGGGAGAGGGGGAGTAGAGGGAGAGGGGGAGGGAGAGGGGGAGTAGAGTGGAGGGAGGGAGAGGTAGAGGGGGAGTAGAAGGAGAGGGAGGGGGGATGGGGAGTAGAGGGAGAGGGAGAGGGGGAGTAGAGGGAGAGGGAGGGGGAGTNATCATTACTGTTTCATTAGAAACACCAACGCAGCTCACACTAGTTTTTAGCTATAGTTATATCTTCTGATCATAAAGTCATTAGTACAGTTTCATCAGTGCACCTACTTATTTCCCAGCAGAACTTCAGGAGAGCAGTATTCCATTGTTCCACAGAAGGTAGAGAATAACTTCCCTTCTTTCATGTAGGCCGCTGACCCAAAGTCAATTAATTTGATACTAAAAGTTTCATCTAAGATGATGTTTTCATCCTGGAAGCAATAATTATAAGGTAAGTTGAGGTAACAACAGGTACATGTTAAAGACCATTTTATGGATCACACTGTCATAATAATGTGATTTGGTTGGCTTGATGCCTCAAATAACTATGATTGTTTGGGAGTCTATTTACTAGTAAGAAGATCCTGAAGGGGGAGGGGAGGTGGGTGTGCCAATCCCATTTCCCAACAATTTCTCCTTTTTTACAAATACCAAACTTTTTTCTTTGAAAAAATGTACACACCCCCATCTTTTCCACATTCCCAGTGACCTAAATCCCATTTTCCCCATGAATCCCAGTTCCCACTTTACCCTTCATGACCCTCTCATGTGGCTCATGTTTAAACTTTTTGCAATCTGTTTAACTTCATTGCTAAATTTCCTTAGAACAGATGTCTGATTGAAGCAAAGGGAGGATCTGTCTCTTTCCATTTCTCTCCCATTTTATTTTCTTTCCCTTCTTATCAAGGTATGAAATATAAAGGTTGTGGTTTTACATACCTTGACATCCCTGTGTAAGATGCTTTGGTTATGAAGGAATGATACTGCAGACACTAGCTACAATCATAAGCAAAAAAGGTGTCAATAAAAACTTATTAATATTATTATGTATTTAATATATTTTACAGTATTTAAACAGTGAGCCCATATCTCTAAAAAGGTTTTTCAATGGGGACCTGCAAACTTCATTATTTTTCAATACTTCATAAAATGTTTTTAAAAGAGTTTTAAGTTATTATTGAATATTATTATTATTAGTAATATCTTTAATAAATTATGCACAGTTCAACTTTCGTCACCCAAATAAATATTTTCACACTTTAACCAAACAGTGGAGAGATCTTAGTTTTCAAAAAAAGCATTGGGCTTAATTTTTTTTCATGTCATAAATGGAGATTGAGTGGGTCAAAAGACATGTCAATACTTTCTGACAGTGACTTGATAATTAAGTTAACAGGAAGAATAAATTGTTAATGATACACTGTATGTACACGTAATAAATCATCATGGTTACCTGTCTAAAAATGTAAGCACACAGAGGTTCATCCAGAGCTGGCTGTCTGTCAATAAACTCAAATAAATCCATCCCTGAACCATGTTTCTCCATAACCAGCTGGAAAAACTCTTCATTTTCAAATGCATTGACCATCTGCAATACAATTAAGCACCTATTTACTCTCAAATGGTCAAAAGTAAAATGAAACATGGAAGGAGGAGGTATTGAGTGGTAGAGGGAGAGAAGAGGCAGTGGGAGAGGGAGAGGAGAGGGAGAGGAGAAGGAGAGGGAGAGAGAGAGGGAGAGGAGGAGTAGAGTAGAGGGAGGGGGAGGGGGGAGGGGGAGGGGGATTAGAGTGTTGAAGGAGGGAGAAAGGAGTAAGGTGCTGGGGGATGAGGAAGTAGGGTGTTAGGGGAGAGGGAATAGGGTGTTAGGGGGAAGGGGATTTAAGGTTTTTCAAGGGAGGGGAAGTAAGGTGTTAAGGTTGTTGAGGTGGATAAAGCATATCTACAATTATCAAAGGACTGTCAGTCATGACAGAAATTTTCTGGAAGTTAGGGGGTGTAGGGTATTGGGGAAATGGCAGGCAAGCCTCAGATGTAGTTAAGGAGGTACGTACAGATTAATATATTTCCTGGAATCAAAGATTAATTACCTCAGCGTGGTTATTGACTCTTCATAGTTATAACTTGCTGGACCCTGGGAAAGTTTTGAAATTTATTTTATGATGGTTTACAAGCAATCCTGTGATAATCTATTCAAAAGACACAATACAGTGTATATCAGCCATGCCTAATATCTCCAACATGGCATACAAGCAAGAAACAAGTGACACATTTTTACCCCTTGGTTCCCATGAATGCCAACATGGTAGAGATGGCATAACATGCATGCRAAGTTAATCTCCATCAATAAAGCAAAGTACAAGCACTGCTGAGTAATTATATTTAATGGTATTTTGAATTCATAACAGGTACCATAGATATCTTTAGACCATATGCACAGTGTAAATTAATCTATTCTGATGTTGACTTACAATATTGGCAACCATGACAGTCCTTGCATTTCCTCCAAGAGAATCTACAAGAGGCAAGGTCCAAAACTTACATTGTATTTGAGATTTTGCCCGCAGGCTGGTGCTGCACAATAGGACAAAGGAGTCCCCTTTGAGGTACATTGGACCAGTTTCCAAGCCCATAAAATCCCCATACCCATCCCACAATCAACCCATTAAGAAATCTTTAGTAACGGCCAGACACTGAGGGTGGTCACTGCCAGGGTTTATTTACGTCCTCAGTCAAGTGGTTCTTTTACATCCCTCCATTGCAGGGGTGAGGTACTGTAGTGTGGAGAGACGGGACCACCATTTTATGTGGTCATCCAAGCCACGYGAAGGTCTAACCATTTGTAACTGTTATTACAAAGGTAGCACCTCCTCCTTTATTTTAAGAACCTGAGTGTTCGTCCGGCAGAGGATTGAAGCATGACCTCCAGCATGAAAGTCCATCGACCAACTGAGCCAACCAGGTAACTGTTAAATATTGCGACAATTCTTGTGACAATCTTTATTGTCACAATTTTTGAAACATGTTATTATAGCCATTCTGAGGTTGAGGAATGAACTGGATCACAATGCACTGCATAATAAAATTTAAGTTTTACCAACCTTGTAGTAGCCTTGTTAGCTTGGAATCTCTGTAGGGTATGTGTGTACTCTTGCCATCAACCTTCACATATTAAGACATATAATATGATATTATAGTAGTAATAAACTATGTGTTTGGTGTGTGTAAGGAAATAGAGAGAATAAGAGAAAAATATCAAATGCCCTCGGCCGGAATCAACCCACGTCTTCAGTATTCTAGTGCGATGTGTTATCCACTACACCACAAGGATCAACCACGCTGGTAACGCAGCCGGAATATGAAATGTAGGGTACTCGTGAGGACCCCAGAGCAATATTTTTTTCTCTATAGGTAAGTTGAACACCATAAGTATGTATGCAAAGGATAGACATAGTATAGTAGTAATAAATTATGCGTTTGGTGTGTGTAATGAAATAGAGAGAATAAGAGAAAAATATAAAATTCAATATCTTATTCTCTCTAATATAATATTAATAGATTGATATAACAGCACACTGTATGATAAATCTGGATATTTTATCAATGATTATAAAATTAAACTATTAAGTACATTTGTGTTTAATTATTTTTTTCTTCTTCTCTCAGTTAATTGTTCATTTGTTTCCCATTCATGTCTTCATCCAACCATATTATTCCTTCATTCATTCATTTTCTATTTAGTAATACTCACCAAAGCAGAGATGACATTACCAAGGGCAGATAGCGACAGATTGATTTTTGTGGCTTCTTTCAAACGGTCTCCCTGATACAAAAAGAGCAGTTATAAAGTAAAGATAAAAATGTAAACCAAAAACATATCTCCCTCTGTTCCTTTGAAAATACATTCTGACAAAGGTCATGCCAAGATAAATTTTATTTGAAACACAGCATGGTCACCGGAGTCAAGAATACACTGCGTAGATGACATCTTTCAAACCAATCAAAGACACTGCATTATTTATCTATCATGTTAAGTACAGCACATCTATATGGCCTGAGTGTATTTTCACTCAAGATCTTGAGAAAATGATTTTGATTTTTTCTTGATTTTTAATAAGTAAATTTTACAGAATTTCATAGATTGTCTGACTGGATCATATTTACCACAGCTCCAGTCTTGGATTGTCTTTCACTTCCAGCTAAATCCACCAAGTTTAATTTTCCTACACGAATGTGAGCTTCACCTTCAGGATCAAGCTGAAATAAACCACAAAATTTCAGATCAGAATTTTCCTCTAGGTTCACCTGTCTTCCTCCCTAAAAACAAGATCATTGCTACTAATGCTGCTGTTGTTACAAACACAGGTGTTGTTGCTGCTGTTGCTGCTGCTGTTGCTAGCTGTTACTGATTGTACTGCTGTTGTTGTTAGTGCTGATTGCTGTTGTTGCTTCTGTTGTTGTTTCTGTTAGTTGCTGCTGTTGCTGCTGATTGCTGCTGCTGTTGCTAGCTGTTACTGATTGTACTGCTGTTGTTGGTGCTGATTGCTGTTGTTGCTTCTGTTGTTGTTGCTGTTAGTTGTTGATGTTACTGTTGCTGCTGCTGCTAATTGCTGCTACTGTTGCTGTYGTCAGTTATATCTTTATTACGTGCATTATTTACTATACTTACAACACTGCATTCCACAGTGATAATGAAGATAGCATGTGATCTGGATGAATGCTCATTCATATTTGTAGCTCTACATAAAAGATATAATTAGCACAACCAAGAGTTAATATGTACATGTAATTATAACCTGTAACCAGTAGTGGATTTAGAGAGAGGTTGCAAGGATCCCATGCCCCACCCCCTCATCCCTCCCAGATTGGAGTTGGTTGGTTTAAACATTAAACTTAAGGCCACTGTAAATTGCTAAAAAGGCGCACCTTCTTAAATTTGTGAATTCCCCTATTCAAATTTCTGCCAGTGCAACCACAGAATGACAGACTTACCCAACGGCTCTGTTCTGGTTGCCAACACTCATCACATGTTCTATTTCTTTGACACTTTTGCAGACAAAAGATTGAAGATCCTGCAAAATAATACAATATTTTTTCCCTAATAAATAAGAATACTAATTTATGGTATGGTTTTATGGTAATAATATTATAGGACGTGCATGCTCCTCTCATTTCTGAGCTGATATAAGTCAAGGCACAGGTAATGGAACTCACAGGTCAAACTAAATTGGGTTAAATTGTGTTCTCTAAGGGAAGGGAAACCAGATTGAACCTGAAAAAACTCTCAAACGATTTCTACTCAACAGTGATCTACTTTARTCCAGCAATCAAACCAGAGACCCAGAAATGAGAAATTAAAGCAGTACTACTACACCACCAAATTAAACCTGCTCCATGAGATTCATTACCTTGACATACACTCCAGTATCAGGCCTCTCTTTCAATTCAAGTCTCTTTTTCATATCTTTGGCCAACAAGTCTTTGATTTCTTCTTGGTAGATTTCCAGGTAGGATGCTCTGACTAGATACTGCTGGTTGGTGGTACGAGCAATATGAGTGAAGATATGCTCAAATGAGTTCGGAATTACTCCTTTGAGTTCTGGATCTGACTTGACACCTATGGTACAATGATCAAATATAATTAAATTGTAAGACCAGCATTAACATTTCTCTACTGAAGAAATAGAAAACGCGCACACRTGCGTGCTGTGTGCTGTCATAAAGCATGCGGGGGTTGGCATAACATGAGAGAAGTGTTAGGAGAAGCACGACGCGTAGCGATCGAGTGCTTCTGGACACTTCTCGAGTGTTCTGCCAATCCCCAAGTGCTTTATGACTGCACACAGCACAGCAAGCAAGTTTTTTATTTCTTTTATATAATACAAATTACAATAATAGATAGGAATGACGCAACGGAAAGTGCGCGCACGTGCAATGTGCTCTCATAAAGCACGCCCTCCAAACCAATCAGAACGCAACATTCATAACAGTTATTTTATAATTTGCAGTACTAAGATAACTGTTAAGAGGCAATGTCTGTAAAAATCAAACATAATCGAAAATCCGTGGCCAAGTTGAAAAAATCGATTTTGTTCATATTCTACCCTCAGTCCGCCTAATCTTCACCTCCCCCTGTCTACAGGATATTTTTCCAAAGTTCGTTTTCAGAGTACAAAATAAAAATTTCGAAAAGTCATTTCAAATATTTATTTTAATTTTTAATTTTTGAATTCGAAAATTGAAAATTGACATTGATGAGATAATATTCGAATTTTGACATGATCATAAAAAATGAAAATTCAAAAATCAGGCAAATTTCATATGTCCAATTCACGCCAACTAAATTGAAAAGCTCTTTGTGGAGTGTTACATGGACCCGTAGCGAGCCTTTAGTCTCTTTAGTCAAACTTTTGGTTCGCCACTACTCCCCCCACCCCCCTCGCTACGGCCCTTGCTATGATTACCAACATAGCATTACTGTCTAAGTATATGACGAGCAAAAACTAAAGAAGCCGAAATTCAGTACTAGGTAYGAACAATAATCAAGCAATTTATCTTTTAGGTAGGATCTCCCGGTGTTTTTTAGTCTAAATGTCCTAAATCTGGACATAAATGTAACTCTTTTTAGAACTCTGAAGTTTTATGGGCTTGTTTATAAGTGTCATATAGATCGTGCCGACGCGTGTGTTTACATGCTTGTTTCAAATTGTAATTTTTAAGTAACAGCATTTTAAAGTAATGTCGAAAAAGAGCAAAAAAATACAATTTATTGCTCAATATTCAATCGACAACTAATAATATCAAAACAAATGTCAGAACTGAACACCAAGAAAATATATTAAGGATATATTTATGTCTGCCTCGAAAAGGTTTCGTCGGATGCCAATCTCAAACAACGCAAATTTCTCTGAATTCGAAAGTTTCGTATAAAGCGCTCATTGAATAACCCAAGCTGAATTTTACATATGATTTTGCTTGACATTCGAAGGTATTATGGCTGGAATTTCAGATAAATCCGAACACCCGGTGCAAATGAAAATGCGCTTTGCAAACTAAGGGTGAAATTTGAATATTTGAGAACMTGAAAAATGTAGTTTACAAAATGTTCCTGTTCGCTTAATAGAACGCGTTTCCCCATTCATTTTTTAGCTTAAAATAATCATTAACCTTTCCTTTACTTTATTTCAAAAACAGATCTTCTCTAGTTTGCTTCATTTTTATACGCGAGYGCCTTTTTCAGACCTACCATTTTCACCTCGGATTTAGGCTGAAATGAGGGCACCGACGGCCAAAATCGATTTTCACGATTTTCTCAAAATAAAAGTGAAATTATTCAAAATGAACATCAGTAAGTTTATTGGAATGGTATTCCACATCTTTGGACCAAATATGAACAAAATCGATTTTTTCGACTTGGCTGCTGGATGTTTGATTCTTACAGACATAGCCTCTTAATAACTTAAGATTATCAAATAATATAGACCTTTTTATCTAGGGCATAATGTTTTCCCATTTCAGACCACATATTTGATCATTCTCTTGAGAATAAGATTATTTGTTTGAGTTGTATTCATATTCCTTCTCATTATCAACCTACTGTTAAACAAGGAAATGATTCTCTAGGGAATGAAACATAGTCTGAAAAGGGCAAAACATTACCACGAAGCTAAAGAGGGCTACACTGTAGTAGCATCATTTTCTTTACTCTCCTATATCTCAATTAGCATGCATTTTCGATATATTAATAAAAAATAGGTATTTTATTTGTAATAAATGCATTTTAYACCAGAGAAATCAAGGTAGAGACTCAAAAACACTATTCATATAAGATCCCATCGGCATCTCCAGGATTGTCCTATCAGGAATTATGGAACCTGAGACCTCAAAAATGCATGCTTAATTTGTGCTCATATGATAAAGGAAAGTGTGAAAAMATTAAATTAACCCTTACCTTCCATGGTAAATGTCTTGCCTGTTCCAGTCTGACCATAGGCAAAAATTGTTCCTAAATGAAATAAGGAAATAAATAACAAACAAAAATGAAAAACAAAACAAAAAATGACATATATGACATTCAAGAATGGTGTGCTCTAGAGCAATCATAAACAAGTGGTCCTTTAATTTGAGATCACTTGGACCAACAACAGCAACGTTTTTATCGTACCTAGAATTAATACATGCATATTTACAAAGAAAATTTAAATAACTAATTTAAGTACAGGCCCTAGCTAATAACTATAAAGTTAAAAAGGCACTAGGACCATCATCTCATGATATCATCTGAGGCACTCTGAAGGTCTAAAACTAGGTCTGAATTATCATCTATAGAATTATACTTTTCATTTATATATATCTGCCTTTTTATATCCTTTTTTTTAATTCATTTTATTTTATTTATTTTATTTATTATTATTATTATCATTTATTATCATTTTTATTTCTGTGTGTTTGTGTTTTCTCAGGGCCTCACTGAAAATCACCTATTGTGAGTGGGCTCCCTGATGAAAGATTACTATTATTTATTTATTTTATGACCATTTGCAGATCTGTATTTTTCAAGGGAGCAACTTCTACTCAGATATTTTAGGACCATGACTGTTGGTCTGGCTTGGGCTAGCTTGAACTTGCAATGACCTCCTGTCTAATAGGCCTAAACTCATGAATGACTATCCAGCTGTAGCTATTTAAACTGCATTAAATAATTTCTCATGATCACTCACCATTGTATCCCTCTAGGACTGAGTCTACCAGCTGTCTAAAGGTTTCATCATAAAGATCCAACTGCTTGGAGCTGAAAGTTTTATAAAAACACATAACATGAAGTTAGAGAGAGACAGGAGTAAGGTATACATAGGTAATATTAATCAATTGGGATCCCTGTGGTAATCGCCCCCAAGACCTTACCCTATTCATGACCAAAGAGTCAGTGTCATTCTTAACAGTTGCGCATGCTCGGAAAAATGCCAATAATTCCAAGAACTCTTGACTAGTTAAAATATTTTTCATGATAATTGATTGAAATTATTGTTTTGTGGTCACCCAAGCAAATTTGAGTATTAGTCCATATTACTTGGCTCAACCTCAATCCCAAAGTATCAAATCTGGTATGCCAACTATTAGTGCTGTTCTACTCTAGCCGTGAACACTCAAGTTTGACAACCAATCAGATTACGAACCGAAAACAATAGAATTCGAGTTACATGTATTGAAAGTCTATAAAAGCTATTCAAGGAGATGAAATGATGAAAGAGAAAGAAAAAATAAAAGTATATTTACACAAATAAAAAATAAAATAAAATAAAGTCAAGTGTTCATGGTTAGAGTAGAAGGACAGTAATCTAGTTCATCTTGAAGGGTTAGGCAAGGGCGGATCCAGGGGGGTCAAAGGAGGGCTGAAGCCCCCCTTCAGCAGAAAAAACAAACAAAACAAAACTGAAGAATTAGATGCTTCTTTTATTGTTTTCCATTGTATTAAAGGAAGAAACTCAAGTAGCCCCCCCCCTAAACTCAATTAGCCCCCCCCCCCTAAAATTTTGGCTGGATCCACCCTTATTAGGGTTTAAGGCTTAGTGTATCTGAAACTTTAGACAAATGTAAACCATTTACTTACTTCCAATCATAAACAGCATCGTAAGTAAACACCTTAGGAACTTCATTTGGTTTTAATAAATTCTTGATTTCCAATGTTCCTTTCTTCACATTTATTTCGACCACTCTATTTGAAAAATAAGAAAATTACAGAATCACAATACACCTAATTACCTTCAAGCAAAATGCTTTTCTTTTTCAGACCATGTGTCATTCTCTAGAGTATTATTTCTTAGTTTAACAGTTTCACACGAGGCGACACATGGATGTGGATACAACTCAAACAAAGAATCTTATGNTGGATACAACTCAAACAAAGAATCTTATGACGACACATGAATATGGATACAACTCAAACAAAGAATCTTATTCTGAAGAGAATGACACATGGTCTGAAATGAGAAAAACATTAGAAGTAGTAAGTAATAGGTAATACGTAGTAGGGGAGAGGGGATTAGATTTTTTTGGCAGAAACCATACCCCCCGTCCTCCAACTCCCCCCACCCCCCACCCAAACACACACACACACACTTCCTGATTATTGACACAATACCTTTCGTGTCCTGCTGCTATTTCTTTCTCGTTCATTGGTCGACATCGTACCACCACTTTTACAGACTCTCCGGCTTTTTGTTTAATCGACTAAGCAAAAGAAGACATCGAAAATCAARTCATTTTAAGCTTTACTTTTTAAAATTTTTATAATAATCTAACCAAATATGAAATTAGAGATCTAGTATAATTTAGTTTAAAAGTTATTTAGCTGGTTACGTTTATAGGATCGACTGACAACAAAGATTAAAAAGAGTTTAAAAAAATAACAACTCAAGCGAGTTTTGCTTACCATGACGACAGAGCGACCGTTTTTTCGTCTCTACCAAACGTAATTCCGCTACTCACATTGAATTTCCTAAGTGATTTTTCAATATATTCGCTTATTTGTTTCTTCTTCTTGTTACATATTTTAGTTTAATGTTTTTTTTTTAGTAAAAGAGGCGATTAATAGTTTCAGACTTCGCTGTCCGCCATTTTCTTCATCGTCATGGAGAAAGTCGCCATGGGGGATGCCGCTGTGCGTAAGGATTGCAGACAAGGTTTTCTGGGAGTCTTCAAGTCTTGTCTGTCTGTCCGCGTGTCTTGTCTATCCAGTGGCGGATCCAGGATTTTTCAAAGGGTGGTTCCGTTTCTTAAACTGTGTATAATTCTCTTTTRTTTAGTCGATGTCTGACAAAAAAATTGGCTCTAATCACCTAATTTRCTATCTAGTAACGGAACTTAAAGGTAAATAATAATAATAATAATAATTTATTGACTTATATTGCGCTGCTTCAATAAAATTATCAGCAGCGCATTACAATATATATGATATAAAATAAATCTAATCTAATTCACTAAAATTATAATATAAATAAATATTGTAATCACAATCGAAATTATATGTAATAAAATATATATATATACACACATATACACACACACTCATATATATACATACATATATAACAATATTAGGAACTAATCTAAACGAAATACCAATAAAAATCATAAAAATATAACTATATACATAAAATAATATCATGTCCCAACTAAAATTAAACATTAYAACAGCAAATATTTATCATTTCGTGTTCAACATTATCCTCGTGGATATAAGCAAAATTTATATAAGACATATTTCTATTACCTAAAAGATCAAACCTTCAAGGGGGGTTCCGTGGAACCCTTCGAACCCCCCTCCCCCCCCTTCCCTGGATCCGCCACTGCTATCTGTCGGTAGATCTCAGTCAAAAAATCTTTACTCGTTTTGATCACGATTCTTTTGTGCGTCAAGCCTGTAAATGCCTATTTAACCCCTTCCAGTCCATGACTGATTCTTTAAGAATGCGTAATAAATATTTTTGGGCGAACCCCGTAATTCCAAATTCTTAATCTAGTACGCACTGGCTATATTGCTCAAATTACCCAAACATATGGATATTAAGAAACTTTTATTACATAGCGGAAATAAATTACGTACAAACTCAGTCTATATTTACAAATTATTTCTTTCATATGTACATTATATGTATTAGCTTTCACAGATTCGAACAGATCTAGTGACGCGCACTCGTTTTCCGACTGTAGTTCTTGCTTTATGTTTCATTGCTTCCTAACTTTGTGCATCTTTTCTTGCAAACATAGATCTTGGTTTTCCGCAAACAGTCGCCCAAAACCTTGTGTTTTTTTTAAATGTTATACCAGCCCTAGCCTCTCCCGTAGGCATTTCTCTTATTTTCTTTTCTTACGCGCTTGGCATCCCTGTGTAATAAAGGGTAGGAGAAGGCTTGGTGAAAGGCTTGGGGAGAGGCTTGCTATCAGTCTCTCCCAGCCGCAATACTCTCCACACCACAAGCAGTCCGCCCAAGAAACAAGAGAGAAACCCCAAAGCAGCCCCTAAAGGAACGGGTAGAAGAAATCCGAGGGAGCCTTGGCTTCGAATGTTGGTCGTGGCTTAATCAAGGTGTCTGGTTTGGTAGACACGTCTATGAACTCGACGGAAGTGACCACTTCAAACGTTYGATTCAAGGCTGTGTTGCCTAGTTGGCAGTATGGACCAATACACTGGAAAAAAGAAAACAGGCATTGTTTTTACAAGTGGACGATAGAAGTCATCATTTTTTTGTTTACGGTTGTGCACGAAAAGACACATGAACATGGATACAACTCAAACAAAGAATTTTATCCTCAAAGGAAATGACAAGGGTCTGAAATGGGAAAACATTACGCCCAAGGTACATAAAGAGGTTAGTATTAAAAAAGTCTCGTTACAGAATGCAACGGTTGCATGCGACGTCGTTGGAGAAGAGTTTTCGATATACTTCTTCCTACAACAAAACTATAAATAATGAGAAGCTAAAAATCATAGGATTCTGGCCGACGAAACAGTAAAAGCATGACGACATTGCAAGCTTGTTGCGCGCGACGTTGCAGAAGTAGCCTTTGAATCTGCTTCTGCAAAGTTGCGCAGTCAGAGAGGAAAGAACACGGTGCAATTCCGTGGTTGCATTCAACGTTGCGCGCAGTGGTCCGTGCCTTAAAAGGAACTAAAAAATCTTGCTTATACCTGATATTTAATGTCTTTAGGATCGTCATATTTATACTGTACACCTACAACCTGAATAAAAAACAAACAGAATCCATTACATTATAAGTAATACATCAGATTACATACGAGTGTGAAAAACGTCACATTGAAGGTATGAACTGACTTGCAGCACATACACGGTACGACGTGCCATAACGATGACGCCATAAGACTAGTGATTATGTCCTGAGCATTGATTGCTTTCTGTTTTGTGAGCAAAAAAAAGTCTAATACAGCCATTACCCTGGGTTGTGGATTGGCCAAGAATCCAAAGTTTGTGTAAAGGACCTCGATCTTTAAACCCATCACCATGTTGGAACAAACACCATTTCCTCCTTCAACCTGTCGATACAAGAAATTCACCTCATTAAATGTTTGGAATAATATTCTGCGTTGTGAAGCTGATTCGGGGGTAGTTCTCTAAGGCAACGAGAAAACTTACCACTCAGCACGGTAAAGATTAACGACATCTGTTAAGTCAATCACGACGCGCGAGATGACGGATCATTTGGACAGAATAGGCATCGCGTTCTTCTTCCCGCAAACGGAAGGCCCACGTTTCATCGTTTCCCTGCATTTCGCTTTACCTTTTGCAAACCTTCTTATTTATCTACTACTTGGAGATTTTTCCGCTTTCTTTTCCGATCACGGCAAACGACAGCGTCACGGCAACCGTGTCATTGGAATAATATTCTAAGTTGTGATGTTGATTTAGGAGCAGTTTTCTTAAGACAATGAACAATCAAAGCGCACAGTCACAGCACAAGACAAACACGGAAAGCAAGATTACTGCTTATCCGAACAGCTAGGAACAGAATTCGCAAAGGGTTAAGACCCCAGCACAGCAAAGACACGTCAACAGAGATGTCATTTYACTTAAAAATACAAACCATTTTACCTTTTGTGAGGGCTTGGTGTTGAGAATCTTAACCCAATCACCAACTTTGTTAACATCAGAGTTGCCAAATGTTGCTACATGTGTAGGTACACTGCTTAGTAAGGCATTGAGAGCTGTGTCCTGAAGAACCTGACATGCCGAAAAACTTGTTGACAGGGATACACTGAGGAATAAATTTGAAAGAAAAAATGAAAAGTATTGAACCATCGTGAAAAAATGTTTTGGCGAGGGAGGCGAGGGCTAAAAACTTAGTAAGAAATAAAGCGAAGAGAATTTTTGAGCCATTGTCTTTTAAACTTAGGTCATAAATTTACAGTGAAGGCATTTAACCCGTGAAATAAGAAAATAATAGTCAACATGTAATAGTCAAATACTCAAAAGAAACAATGTAATTAGGGTCTACTAAAGTGTATTAGTCTAATATCTATTTCACGGGTTAAATGCCTTCACTCTATCATAGGTGCTTAGTTGCTATCTCTAAATAAACCTTARCATTTCAAGTGGTTCCAATACTATCACTTGTGGCATACCCCAGTTAATGGAAATATAAGCAGAGGGGTCTTGCTGTGCTGTTGTTTGCACTATAAGATATTATTAGCCATTCCGAGGTTAAAAAAGAAATGAGTCGAATTGGCATTGCAGTGCATTGTGGGACTCTTACAGAGGCTCTTAAACAGCCCCACAATGCACTGCAATGCCGATTCGACCCAGTATTTACCCTCAACATCGGGATGGCTAATAAAACATACCTTATTGTGCAGCCAGTTCGGACATCAATACCAAATGATACTGGTACTCGTTGTGTTGACTTCGTACAAGAACCATCAGCTGATGGCCCTGCTATTGTCAACCATGTTGCCGGGTCAATATTTAACTGTATTGTTTCTCTACAAGTTGATGGTGACTAAGTTATGGTCAATAAATAATAGTTTACTTATTTGTGACTGACAAACTACAATAGAATATACAGAGTTCCATAGAAGTCAATTTTGATTTGTTAGTTAGTCACACAATGGCTTAGGTCAGCCCGCTAGAGGTCTTTCAGCTGTAGATCAGCCCAGAGAATGTTTTAGGGTTCTATCTCTGAGTTATTCTGACTCCCGCGGGGGGGGGGGGGTACTGCTATACAAGTACATGCCGCCACACAGGGTATGGTTTTCAGCGATTCTACTCTAGAACAGGTATATTAAATCACGCTCGCTCTGGGGCAGGGTATATGAAATCACGCTCTCTCCTCTCTGGAACAGGGTATCTATTTTTGCACTACTGGAAAAGGTTATGGTTTTCAGCAATCTTGCTCTGGAACAGGGTATGAATTTCAGCGATTTTACTCTGGAACAGGGTCATGGTTCAGAGGGCTCAGCGGCACATCCCTACCCTAAATGGGCAAGAGTACCCCATCCCCCGGGTCCTGACTGATAAGCCCAGAGGTTGTGATAGATCCTAAGAACGTCTACATAGGAGGCAACATGCTTGCTTGTTTTCTTTTTCTTCAACAGTGAGCTTGAATTTTAGAAAGGTAAGATTGTATGATGACCATCTCGGAAATCAAAGTGCCTGAAAAAGGATACTTTTGGGTTACTGCATCAGTTTGTAGTGTTCCTGCTACCAGAGGCTTACCAACAATATAACCAGGATTCCCTGACCTCTGAAATGGCTCACTACCCTCCTGGAATGCATAAATAAAAAATAGCATCTCACATCAACAGCTACTTTTGGGRTGCATAACAGAGTTTAAGAAGTTTGGAAATCAAGCTGACTGACTTAGTAGCAGTGGACTTTTCTCTCACCTCTGGGGTCTCAGGTTCAATTCCTGGACCCAGATAAGCTATTGGGTAGATATTGTTGGGTCTCTCACTTAATTGGAGGGTCTTTTTCTGAGTTCTCCAGTTTTTTGCCCTCTACAAAACCCAAGATGCTAAATACCAATTCGGTCTGTGAGTTAGCCGTGCCCTGACGTTGATCAGTCAAGAGGTTGTTTCAGGGTTCTATCTGTGAGTTAGCCATGCCCTGACTTTGATCAGACCAGGGGTTGTTTCAGGGTTGAATCTGTGAGTTTGCCATACCCTGAATTAAATCAGCCCAGAGGGTATCAATAAAATTTGAAATATTTACGAAAAACCTTAGAACAAACCTTTTGGAATTTGATAGAATATTTTTGTAGAAAAGGTAAATTATTGTCAGAGGACAATGCACCCAACACAAATTCTACTCCAACCTTTGTCAGGTCCGTAGTGCTATTCCACTGAAGAGTGTATTTGACCTGAGAAGAGCAAGAGAAAATAATCTTTTCAATCTTTAATCTCGTTTTCCTGTAAAGAATTTACAACTGGCAATCATATTGCTGTATTGCACCTCTCTTGGAATTGTTGCATTCCTGTTTTCTCCTCCATTTCTTTCACTTATTGTTCATTCTATCATCCACTTTCCAACTTCTCTCATTCTTTTCAGGTTCTGTTATTTGCATTTGAGTTTGGAACATGAACATTTTCCTTTTTCATTTGASTTTGATAAAGTTGCAATTCTGAGACATAACATCACATTTCTATGGCAGGTTTGAGATAATTAGCCAATCAATAATATAATAAGACAAACTATATTCCAACAAGCCACAACAGCTCATTTCTATGGCAGGTTTAAGATGATTAGCCAATCAATAAATAAGATAGACTACATTACATTCCAACAAGCCGCAACAACTCAAACTTGAACAAAATTGAAAACCGTTCATTCGTATTCCAAGCTGAAATGCAAATAGCATTACAGCCATTCTCAATCACACGCGCCCTCTAGCGATTTCTTCTGTCGCACAAAGGTTTTGGTGGACGTCAATCAATTAAGGTGTTTCCATGACATTGTCAGAAAACACAAAGCTGTAAGGACACGTGCCTATAGAATGTCATGGAAAGGGCTTCATTGACGTCCACCAAAAGATTCTTCGTTGCGACAGAAACAATCCCTAGAGCAACACGTGTGATTGACGTCCACCAAAAGATTCTTCGTTGCAACAGAAACAATTGCTAGAGCAACACCTGTGATTGAGAATAGCTGTAAGTAGGAAACCCTGAAAATTGAAAACAAATTTTACCTCATATACTACATTATTACAAGTCTTCTTAGCAGCATCATAGCTAGGATTTGGAGGATCACTAAATCCACAAGCATTCAAAATTCCCAGTTCACTCTTGCAGATTACTGGCTCAGTGACATTCACATCCAACAAAAGAGTGTCATTCAACAGCCATGTTGTCACAGGTCGTGTTGATGTAGTGGTAAAATTGGTAGCATTGGTAACACTTGTTGTGATGTTCACAGTGCTTGTTGCATTGGTCGTGTTTCCAAAATAGAGGGAGGGATTCTGGGAAGATATGAATAAAAGTTTAGTTGGATGTCTATTTATGATAGTCCTTTCCTTTTTTTGCTAAGGTGAAAGAAAGCTTCTAGGTTGAGTTTGGGAGTGATTTTTTCAGATATTTCATTGAATTCAGCCTCAATCTAGAACCATCGTTTCATGGATGAGAGTTTATATGTTTATAGGAAAGGATAAAAGGATAGATGAATGGATAGATGGAGTGGGATATGTGGTTTGATGGGTCAACTACATGGGAGAGAAAGGGATGGATGAAAATGGAATTGATGGAGGAGAGAAGGGAGAGAAAAAGGGATGGAGGAAGGATAATGAGAATGAGGGAGTGAGGGAGGCAGAAAGGGTTGGATGGAATAATGATGAGAAGGAGGGAGTGAGGGAGAAAGAAAGGGATGGATGGAAGAATGATGAGAAGGAGAGAGTGAGGGGGCAGAAAGGGATGGATGGAAGGATGATGAAAAGGAGGGAGTGAGGGAGGCAGAAAGGGATGGATGGAAGGATGATGAGAAGGAGGGAGTGAGGGAGGCAGAAAGGGATGGATGGAAGGATGAAGACGGGAAAGTAGGGATGGATAGATGGGTACCGATAGATGGAGAGGGGAGAGCTAAGGTGGGATCATGTGAAGGAGAGAGGGGGAAAGTAGGCATGGAGGGAATGTGTCAGGTGACAATCCAATAGTACAGCAAACCATATTTATCACCTTGGCAACCTTAAATCCTGTATAATAGCTCTTTGCTGCCAGGTAAGGTAAACTGCTACACTTTGAAGCCAAGTCTGTAATCCCTCTTGTGCACTCACTATCACTATCTTGTAAATATCCTAAAAAATAAACTTATAAGCATCAAGTTATCACAGCCATTTTCAATATTACATGAGCTTACCTGCAGGGTTTTCATYGCCACACTCTCTTGTCAACACTGGCTTTGGAAGAGCAAGAAAACCTTTGGCACCATTTTCAAAAACCAGTACGATAGGATCTCCTGCCTTGGGAAAGATTAGTTTTATGTTTGAGTTGTTATCAATAGAATCATGCAATTTGGGTCATGACAAAATAGGGTTCAATCAATCAGGAAATTGTTTTCATGATATTGTTGACGAATACAAAAGGAATGTGCCTGTGGGATGCTATGGAAATAACTTGATATCATTGCAAGGTCACCGTTCGTCTTGCTTCRATGCAAAGGCCTGGCTACCTTTCAAGATGGCGCAGGGAACTGTGAAGGGGACTATTGAGACTAGACCAACAACACCTGTGGCCACAGTTTTGTGCCTAACTTACTCTGTACATATCCTATGATATATGAGATGAATGCTAAAGATGTAGTTTACTAGTATTATTAAATCAAATACCTTATAGGCGGACACTTCTGTAGGCTGAGGTTGTGTGAACCCTATATTTTCGTAAACAGCTTTGGATGTTTGGCCTTTAAGTGCAGAAAACTCAGCGGCAGTGCTTGCACTTCTGATATCATTATAAAGATTTCTAGAGCTATCTAAAAATAAAATGCTTTGAGTCAGTACTAACTATACACATTTCACAGGTCAAGGCCTTATGCGACTTATAGTGCTACAAGAAGGGATGGATGACGTCATGTGATGAAACTCTGAAGTTTAAGTAAACGGTCACGTGTCTGTACTGGTGAGCAAATTTTTTATTTTTATTTTAAATTGGTGATTCTTTTTAGCTACTTGTAAAGAACTGAATGAAACGAATTGCGACCCGTGTGTTGCGATGACGTAACGCGCAATTGAAGAATACGTTAGTAATAGGCCCTTTGCAGTTAACAGTCACGTGTCTGTACTGGTGATCAAATTTTTTTATTTTATTTTAAATTGGTGATTCTTTTTAGCTACTTGTAAAGAACTGAATGAAAAAATATGTAACCAGTGTGTCACAAAATGCAGTTTTATTGTGATATCTCGAAACAGGTCGTAGAAATTTTGTTTGTTCACCAGTATATTTCACCCATAAGAATCAAGATGTTCATTCATTTGCTCTCAGTGAATTAATCAGCACGTGATTACTGGGCTGCAAAGGACCTATCAATATTTTACCATGCCAATCATTGTGTTGTACTGAAACTTTAATCTAAATGTTGCCATGGCAACCAATGTATATTTAAAAATTTATAGAACTTACAATTGTCCCTGTAGATGCAGAATAAACCAGAGCCAGTTGCCTTTGTCTTAAACTGTGTGTTTTGTGTAAAGAGGAGCTCTGATGACACACAGACACTGCTGTCTTGGCTGTCAATCAAAAGAAAAATGTATACACAACTAAGATAAGAAATTGGACATTAATGTTTGGTTAAATTCACTTAAAAAATAAAAGCATAGGATATTTTACTTTTGTGATCGTTTGCTATAGTTTTGATAATATTTGGAGTGATTATTTGGGCTCAAAATTAAAAGTTTGAAGTTTTAAAACAAAATTTTTAAAAATTTATACAAACTTGACATCGGCGTCCTTGCACTCTGTGAAAGCTTCCTTTTCCGCTGCAGTGCAATCAGGATCGCAACAGCAGTTTGTATCGCAAAAATTCCCAGTGAGATCACAAGTACATCCTACAAAACAACCACAAAAACAGACCTCAACCAAAATATTTCAGTAAGCTTACTACATGTATAYCCCCATACCACCAAAACTTGGTTTACAAAAAAATAGATGCATTTRATTTTTTTAAATTGCTTGAAAACCAAAATAATTATAAATACCTGAGCTTGAAGAAGACGCGAAGACGGTCCTGTTACTAGAAGCAGCTTTACTTTGAGCACAAAATAAAAATATACACAAAATTCTCGTCCAAAACAAAATTGCCGCCATTTTGAAAGCAAGAATGTAATGCGCGCAAAGAACAGTGGGTAAAACCACAGGAACCCCATGATAAATTACTTAATTTGATTTAAATGCTTGAAAATAAGATAATAATAAAACAACAGAGCTCAAAGGAGGCGAAAAGACCGATCTTTTATTAGAGGCGGCCTTGCTTTGAGCACAAAATGAAAAAAATACGCAAAATGAAAACAAAAATATGACTCACAAAGACTTGTGGGTAAAGCCACAGAAATCATTGATTGTACTCAGGCTTTGCTCGGCTTTAGTTCACTAGAATGTAAATACGTTATATATTATCAAAAATCCTGAAGATTTTTCTTCGTTTGTTTGGAGATCAAGATGACAACTCGGCTCATTTTCAGACAGGTGAAGGCATAAACTTTTGTTTGGTTTAAAAATCTGCTTCTAGTTACTTGCAAATCGTAGATAAATAGCTTTCAAAAATCAAACATATACTAAGCTAAAAATTTTATGCTGGCGTCATCTCTAAAATCGTGCACATCAGCATGTCTTATCGAGGAAAATGCAAAAAATTTTTTATTTTTTATTTTATCATTTTAGAGACAAGGATCAAGTTTGGACCAGTTTGATTTTTTWAATTATTATGCCATTCTATTCTATAATATATCAAAAATTCAATAGATATTAATATAATATTATTAATATGATGGTAATATTAATAAACATGTTGATGATGGGGAAGTTAAGGTGCTGCCACATGAGGCGGTTTTTCATGCAACATTGTTATATTAAACGTTGGCTTTGTTATKGATGGTTTTCATGTCGGCCATGTTGGAGGAACTCAACAAAAGAATTGTCAGTGAATTCTTTTGTTATATCCTCCAACATGGCCGTCATGTCTTTTGTTATTTAATCCTCTTGGAAATGGTTGAAAAGCATCAATATGGCACGCGGCACGCGGCACACAAATAATTTGTTGGCGACGATGTTGTAAGTTTTTAAAGCCTGTTTAAAAACCTGTAACATGTTGCCACATGTTTAATACTTGTAAGTGTTTCCATGACAACACTGCATAACACAAAGTTTTAAAGTCCTAAAAATCTACATGTTACAATGGCAAATATAATTATATGATATATTTTTTCCTGAATTTTTGCAGTTACTTGATTTCGAGTCTTTCACTTTTACATACTTGCTTGGATGCAATAAAACCAGACAGGCTGTTATCATAGACCCCGTTGATACACAGGTCAGCAGTAAGATAAGTATTAGATTATTGGTTAAATGATGTTTGATAATTATCATATAAGAACATGCATAATAGGTTAGCTTATACTGTATGTTCTTATATGATTTCCGAGCCCATCCCACACAGCTTACCGCCTCATCTCTCTTTGATAACCATCACTTATGATGATGATGATGATGATGATGATGATGATGATGATAATACACAGGTGATACACAGGTCAATTAAATTGATATTAGATTATTTTTTGAATGATGTTTGATAACCATCACATATGGTGTTGTTGATGATGATGATGATACATAGTTTATGCATACTGTAGGTCAGTTATCAAATAAATTTTTGAGTATTGATTATGAGATACTACTACTGGTGCTGATGAAGATTTATGCATTAATGTCATTGATGATATCATAGTCATAGATATGATGGTGACAATAATGCTGCTGATGATGATCAATGGTGATGATCAAGGATGGATGACGTGATGATGGATGTTGAATGATGGTTGTGATGCAGTCATATCCAATACTGTCGAACTGATAGGGATCATCAATGTGGTTCACGATCYGTACCCGTATCCATGATTTGTGAAAGTCATTAATATGCATACAAAATCATTAGTTATGTGCACTTAACCTTTCACGGTAACCCTGTGTGAAATGCTTTTATCACCGTCTGYGTAAAATGGTTATGGTGATGACGATAGTTATGCATGCTGACATGATGATGATGGTCAGGTGATGATGCACATTCATGGTTATAAGAATAATGGCATTGATGATAGTGATGCATGACTATCATGAGTCCTGGGATAGTGTGATGCATGAACAGCAAGTTAATTCTCATTGATTCATTTTACTTCAGGTCCAGAGAGATTCACGGCTCATAAATGAAATGGAACTCAAACTGATATATGCAGGTACATATTATACWTATTAATATTACATATTGTGTGCATGTCTCYGCACTGTGATATAAACATGCTGGGAGCCTATAGAGCATGAGAGAAGCAAGCTTATAGGAGCATGAGACAAATATTTCTCTTGCTTTTTGAGTGCTTTACCGCTCCCAGAGTATTTATGTCACAGAACAGATATRTAAGCACCTGTTTCATATTGCTTTTATAAAAAAAATTGAATAATTTTTTTAAATGGGTGTGTATTTCTCCTCTGGTAACAAACACGGTAGCCAGCCAATCACTGTGCATGTTACAGAATATCTCAAAAATGTGATTATTTTTAACCTTATATATACTAGAAAATACCTTTAGTTTACTGTATAATCTTTARGTGATTGTAACTCTTGATTTTCTTTCATGTAGTCAATACCCACGTACATGCCGACCACATCACAGGGACAGGAATGCTGAAACAGTTAACAAGATGCAAGAGCATGATCTCTAAAGAAAGTGGTGCCATCGCTGATGTTCTTCTTAGTGATGGTGATGACATTAGGTTTGGAGAACAAGTGAGTATGAGACAACTTAATATTAGTAAACACTTATGTGGACTTGAAAAAGGAACACTTCTGTCAACAATAATTAAAGTAAAATTAATTATGTTGCATTCTTGACCTAATATAGTTTACATTTTTGGGGAATCATATATCGTAAACATTCTTTCTTGCAAAACAAGTGCCAAATTTAGAAGACATCTAGCTACTGTAAAAGGCTTTTTAATGCAAAATAGACACACTAAACACAAACATAGGTTACATTTTATATCATTATCATGTGATGTTTATCTAGCTGGCCATCACGGTGTGCAGTCTAGTACTGTTCAGAATGAAGCAGTTTTAGATTTCACATTTGAGAGAACCAGAGTATAACCAGATATAGGAGATTCAAGATTTTTCTAAAAAATTTTTTAAATAAAAAAAGTTATCCATGTGGATAGGTTCTGTGGATATGTATCGGCTCTGCTACGCTGGCTAATGTGGATATAAAGCAATGATTATAACACTAATTGTATCATCACTCTATAATCCCATATAAGCAACTGTAATTGTATTATTTTCAAACTCTCTTTCCTATCCAAATTAAAGATTAATTTGGATTGTTTCCATTCACATTCTTTCGAGGGAAACCTTTTACTTATGGAATCAGTCTAGTATAGTCTGTCCAATTTGGAAATAATTGAATTCAAGAAATTCCACTGGCTATCAAATAGCACAGCCCACTGATTCTAAAAATAGCTTAAAGATTCGGACAAACATTGCATTCCGTTTAACCGCTACAAGGATTATACGAACC